AGTACTGTTATAATGACATTGAATTTTATTTATTTACAAAAAATAAAATGTTAAATTCACACAATCTATTAGATTTTTGCACAATTATTATTTTTTTATAATGTGTCTTTATCTCTCTGTATCTATCACATCACATTTTTTTATGTACAGTATATATAAAAATATTAAAAATAGTAATAGGTTTGTTTATTATATTCAGCCCAATCAAAATTCTTTTTTATGTGATAAAATCAAAATGTGATTGACGCAAATCATTACCAAATATGAAAATGACTGCTATGCTGTGCAACATCATAAAATAGATAAAATTGCTTAAAAATATCCATGAATTATAATTTAAAAAAAAACTGATTTAAAACAATGTTTTCGGCAACAAAAGATTTCATGAACAAAGAAGCACCTCCAAATTATGTTGCAGGCTTGGGTAGAGGGTGTGTGTCTAAAATTATTTATACAAATGTTTGATGTTTTGAATGCTGATTTATTCATCGAATTGATTACTTTTTTTTTATTTTAATTTCAAGTGCAACTGGTTTTACCACACGTTCAGATATAGGGCCTGCCAGAGAAGGACCTACTGATTTCAGGTGAGTTTTATGGTTTACGATTTTTGAAATATTAAATATATATATATATAAATCCGTTTAATCAACAAAATTGTCTATAAAACCTCTTTCAATTTTCTTGACCATTAAAAATATGTGCCTACTTTAAGTGGATCTGAAAGAGGTAAACCATACAAAATTTAAGATTCAATTAACATGTATTTGCTAAATCATGACTTTTGACAACTACTAGTGATGCATTACAAAAGAAGGCTCAACAAGATGATGATGACGATGATGAAAGATTCCAAGATCCCGATAATGAAACAGGTCTTTTTGCTTCTGCACCATATGAAGAAGATGACGAAGAAGCAGATAAGATTTACGAAGCAATTGATTTGAAAATGGATGAGCGTAGAAAAGCTAGAAGGTTTGCAATCATATATAAATATTTTTTATTTTTATTTTTATTTATTTTCCTTTTGTTTAATTACAGAGAAGCTCGTGAAAAACAAGAATTGGAAAAATATCGTGCAGAAAGACCAAAAATTCAACAACAATTTGCTGATTTAAAAAGAGGCCTTGCTGCTGTTACAGATGTTGAATGGGCAAATTTACCAGAAGTTGGTGATCTTGTTGGAAAAAATCGTAAAAAAACTAATTTAAGAGAAAGGTGAATTCTTCAATTTATTATGATTTTTAAAATTTTTTATAAATATATAAATATAAAATTAATAATGTATTCTATGCCATTTATTAGATATTATGCTGTCCCAGATTCACTGTTGGAAAAATCTAGAGAAGATAATCAATATATTACCACTTTGGACGCTCAACAACAAGTATGATTAAATAAATGACTTGGATAGATTATTTGATATATATTAAATTTAATTATAAAATTTATCCATTATTTTTTTTTTAGAAATTTGGCGGTTTCCAAACACCTGCACCAGATTCTGGAATGATGACTAATTTTATCGAGATTGGACAAGCAAGAGATAAAGTTCTAAGTTTGAAATTGGATCAAATTTCAGATTCTGTTAGTGGTCAGACTACTGTTGATCCAAAAGGCTATTTAACAGATTTAAATAGTGTAGTTATTAAAAGTGATGCTGAAATAGGGTACGCATTTCATTATTTGAGGATATTTATTATGTAATTGAAAAAATGATATTATGATTTTTATTAAAAAATTTTTTCGCATTTTAGTGATATCAAGAAGGCTCGGCTTTTATTGAATTCGGTAATTTCAACAAATCCAAAACACGCGCCTGGTAATTTTATATACAACTTTTTACATGATAATCTTGTCTTCTATTATTTTTAAAATATTAAAATAGGGGTTTTTTAACTCTTCCAAAAATTATTTATTTAGGTTGGATTGCAGCAGCACGTTTAGAAGAAGTTGCTGGTAAATTATCACAAGCTAGAACTATAATCGCTAAAGGCTGTGAAGAATGTCCTAAAAATGAGGACGTATGGTTGGAAGCAGCTCGCTTGAACAATGCTGATACTGCTAGAACTATATTAGCAAATGCTGTTAGGCATCTTCCACAATCAGTTAAAATTTGGTTGCAAGCTGTAAAATTAGAAACTGTTCCTAAAAATCAAAAACAAGTTCTTAGGAGGGCGTTAGAATTTGTACCCAATTCTGTGAAACTTTGGAAAGCCGCTGTCAATATGGAAGAAGACCCAGCTGATGCTTGTATATTGTTGGGTCGTGCAACTGAATTGGTTCCTCTTTCTGTTGATTTGTGGTTGGCGCTTGCAAGACTTGAGAGTTATGAAAATGCCAAAAAAGTCCTTAATCGTGCTCGTACTTTTATACCCACATCCCATGAAATATGGATAGCAGCAGCTCGCCTTGAAGAACAACAAGGAAACGAAAAAATGACAGACAAAATCATTGCTCGTGCAGTAACTGTCCTATCAGAAAAGGGTACTGTTTTAGGTAGAGAGCAATGGTTACAAGAGGCTGAAAAATGTGAAAAAGAGGGTAGCATTGGAACTTGCCAAGCCATGGTAAGAAATACTATTGGTATGGGAATTGAACAACAAGACAAAAAAGCTATTTGGATGGAAGATGCTGAAAGTTGTGTGTCACATGGCTCAATTGAAACCGCTAGAGCTATATATGCTCAAGCGTTAAAAACTTTCCCTGGTAAAAAATCAATCTGGAGAAGAGCTGCCTTTCTTGAAAAGTCGCATGGCACAAGGTAAGAAAATTTAATTATTATCATTAAATAACTTTTTTATGTTTATTTATTGACTTGGTAAAATAAAATAAATTTTTAGAGAATCCTTGGAAGAATTACTTCAACGTGCTGTAAGATTTTGTCCACAAGCTGAGGTCCTTTGGTTAATGGGAGCTAAAGAGAAATGGTTATCTGTTAGTATAAATACAAGTTTTTTATTTATTTTTCCCAACTTGTATACAACAAATAATAATTTTAATAATATAACTATTTAATTCAACGTAGGGTGATGTTAATGGTGCAAGATATATTTTAACTGAGGCTTTCAAAGCCAACTCAAATAGCGAACAAATATGGCTAGCTGCTGTGAAACTAGAAGCTGAAAATGGAGAATATGAACGTGCAAGAGTTTTGTTACAAAGAGCTAGAGAACAAGCAGGCACAGAAAAAGTATGGATGAAATCCATTGTGTTGGAACGTCAACTTAATAAGATAACAGAAGCTTTGTCTATGTTGGATGAAGCTTTACAAAAGTTCCCTACTTTTGATAAACTTTGGATGATCAAAGGACAAATCGAAGACGAAAATGGTGACATACAAACAATTAGAAGTGTTTTGAAGAAAGAACAAGGAAAAAAGATTGCACCTTATGTTTTCAAAATAAATGATACTCAGACACTTGAAGCTTATCTAAGAAAAGAAAGAATTACCAATGAAATTTACCAAGAAGAAAGAAAAATAATAAACATTAGAAAAAGAAAGCAGCATGAAGGTGCATTACTACCTGACAAAAAACAGAAATCCATAGAAGGAAAATAATATGCAATGAATCTTATTATTAAATACTAATCTATTTTTTTACTGACAAACTTTATGCAAATGTAATTAACAATTATCATATTGCATTGCTTATCAATAAAAAAACGCTGTTTGAATTGTTTTACATTCAAGAATATGTGAAACAAGATAAATAATCCCACCTTATGTTGGAACATTATAAAAATATTACTAATTCACTTATTTTCAGTAAAACTTATAAAAATCAATTCTATATTATAAATTGAAAAATTGATCAAATAGTCAACAAAATAGGACCAAGAAAAAGCCAATTCAAAAATAAATTAAGCAAACTTACTGGTGATAGAAAAATATTCACAAGAGATTGAAAATCTATGGAAGGATTCCAAGCAATTGTTTGACAAAAAGACTGGATCGAATCCTGATTTTCATTTAAAGAAATGGCCATGGCTCATTAAGAAATTGTTCAAAAGTATATTGTTGATCAATATTAATGGATTTTAATGCTACAAGTTCTTGGTAATGCTTTGAAAATGCACAAGAAATTGGTTCAAATAATCCACCATCAATAAATTCAATATTTTGAAAAGAATTATAATCATATAAAATATATTCCCTTTTAAGTTGATGTTTAAACATTTTTCCTCCTCTGAAATAGATTCTACATTTATTTTAATTGCAATTTTAATCATAATTTTAATGACTTTAATCGCAATTTTAATGTTTTTAATTGCAATTTTAATGTTTTTGTTTTTTTTTCTCTATTTTGCCTTATCATTGAACAACTGTGTAAAATGGTCTTTCTAGAAAGCTTCAACAATCTGTTAGCACACTTTATGGTGCGGTTTACAATAAATAATGTAACCCTTTTAGAAACGACAAAGGTTTCTCTAAAGTTCCTTTTTTATTTATTTACTTTGACTTTCTTTGGTTGCTTAAATTTTTTAACGGCTGTACAGTCGTTTTTCTTCTTTCGAAGAAACAAAATGCTAGTAAAATTTTTGCTCGGTAAAGAAGCAAAGGTTTGTTTCAAGTTTTTGTTAAGTGTAAACCTTTTTGTTTACGTTTTGTAAAAGTTTTTAAATATTTAAGTGTAAACCTAAAACTAAAATTTTTTATTGGTGTGTTAGAGTGTGAATGTAAAAGTGTAAAGTGTTAACGGTCATTATCGATTAATTAACCAAATATAAAGTGATGACATTTATTAACCAAAGTCGACACCGCTAATTTTAAATGACAAAGCACTAATTTTTTTATTTCTATAATATTTTTTCTTATTTTTATTGTGAGTCCTACAATGTCTCGAAAGTTCATCTGGCCTGGAAAATCTTGTGTTACATCCCCCAATTCATGAGGTCTTTCTCCAGTATGTGTTCTATTATGACTGACCAAATGTTCCAATCGATTAAATTTTTTTTGCATGTACTGCATTTATGTTTGTAAATTATAACACCAGGAGAAGAGAGGTGGCGGGAGGAATTTTTCTTTGTAATAATCTTGTTGTTATTATTATTATTACTATCATCGTCCGTATCTAAATATAAACTAGAATCTTCATTATTAACTTGGTTTTCTTATATAATCATAATTTGGTGACAACAATTCAGGAGGATTGATGAGATTGTAAATTTTAAATGTTGACATTATTATGATGACTCGTTGATGTATATAGTGAAAATTGGTGTAACGTTAAAAATGAGTAAATATTTTTTTCGGTAGGGAGAGATTCAGTATGGTATAACTCTTGCAGAATGTATGGTATGGTATGGTATAGTCCATATTTTTCCATACCAAGTCACACAAAATTTTATTCTAAATCCTTTTTTGGTGGGCGTGAAGGGAAGTATGTTAGATTTAAGCATTGGTATACAACCATTTTATTACATTTATACAATACCATACCATACGTTTTGCAAGAGTTATACCATACTGAATGTCCATATACTCGAAAAAAAGCCTCATTTTAATGGACGGTTTTTTTTTTATAAATAAAAGTGCAATCGCCCTTTTCTTTGACACAAAGTTTCTCAAAACATTTAATCAAAACATTTAATAATATTATTATGAAATTATATATAAAAAAATGTTGTCGAAATCTTTTAAATTCTTAACATTTGCTCTTTTAATTATTACTATTTTATTGAATGTTTTTATCAATGCATCACCAATTCTCTAAGAAAAACGTGAAAAAGACGGTGTTGCTTATGCAAGTTTTGATAACGGCGGTGATGTAAAAAAAATTTCTGGTTTAATTCGCTTTCCACAGATTTCAAAAGAAACTACAAGTATAGCTGGAATATTCAGCGCTGGTTTTATAAGTGAAAATAAAAATGATTATGGATTCGTGATTATTGATGCTTGTGATAATTTATTATTTGATACTGATGATATTAGGGATCAATTGTATATTAATCTTCCTGGAACCGGAGCATTCGAATTTGACAAAAAACTCCAAGTTAAATATTTAACGAATTCGTTTTTCATTGTAAAATTCAATAGCAAAGAAATTGGAAGAGCTCCAATCAAACGTGTATAATTAATACAATTAATTGTTATTATTTATTATGTATAATGTGATTTTGTGATGATTTTTTTAATGTATTAATATTATTAGTTCTCCTAATATATTAATGCTTTCTTGAGAATTAAATCATGTATTTTCTTTAAAACAATTTATTTTAATATTTTCGAATAAAACAGATACGTACATATTTTTAATAAGTGACAGTGGCTGTGTGTTGTAATTTTTATATTAATAATATGAAAATTTTGGCTGGGATGCAGTGGGCTTGATTTTCATTGTAAACTTAAAGGCCCAGAAATCAAAAGAGCTCAAATCAAAACTTGTATAATTAATTAAATTAAATTTTTATTAAGTGTAATGTGATTTTTGATGATTTTAATGTATTGATATTAATATTATTGATTCTTCTAATATATAATAATAATTCGCGTATTTTCTTTGTTTTTAATACTTGGTTGTGTGTTACAATTTTTAAAGCAATTTACTGCGACAAGCTTACAACTGAGGACGCAATGCAAGCTTTTGCTACGCGAGAACAAAAACACATTTATTTTAAGTTGGGTTTGGATTTCATCATCTTTGTCGCAAAAAGCAAAAAAATGACATTATTTCAGGCCAAGACAATAGTCTATTTTATTAAACTCATAACTAATAAATAGAATAGCTATTCCCTCATTTTTTTTTTTTTTTTTGAAAAACTTGAATATTTTCATGGAACAAAATCGGATCTTAAATATATAGTGGTTATCCCTCGCTTCTATAAAATGCATTATGGTTTTAAAAAATGCTTATTTCCAAAAAAAATTTCTTGCTTATTAAACGCCCTATTTTATGAAAAATGTTTACAACAGCAAAGAAAATCTATGGGCCACTGTTCTCTGATAAGAATAGTGGGTTATTGTTTTTGTAATGGTAACGCTGTAATACTATATAGGCACTAATTGTACAATATTGATTTCCAATGAAATTGACATTATGAATGATCCTCTTGAAGAAACAATTACAAATGTCAAATCGATTAATTCTGAAATTGAAACCACAAAAAATAATAATTCTCTTGAAGAAACTGAGGTCTTTTTGATAGAGTGGATTCTTTCGATATATTCCTATAATATATTTTAAAATTTTCTTTTTTTTTATAGTCAAATAATAATGTACATATATCTACGAACAAAGAAATCGAAGACACAATAAATTATGGTGAAGTTAAGAATACTACTCGCAATACAACATTTCTGGAAAATTGGCAAATGTGGAATTAGTAGCTATTAATGGACTGACAATTACAATTCCTTGTGAAAAAAACAATGCTGGCTATAGTTTGCCGAGAATTTCTATAAAAAACTGTAATAAATCTTCAAATTGCACCAAAAGATTAAATTTTAACGTTTATAATTGATCCATGGTATGAAATCGTTGTAATTCTTACTTTTGTTGTATTTAGAAAAAAAAATTATAATAATAAACATAATAAACATAAATAAATATTATGTAAATTTCCGGTATGATAACTAATTAAAAAACCGGGGTGATAACTAATTGAAAAACCGGGATGTTATTGATAACCATAAGGATCTACATAGTCTATTTATCATCCTCAAAAAACGATGATTCATTGCTATAATAACAATGCTTTCTCATAATTGATGGATCATCATCATATATGTGGGCATTTGAAAAGTTTTGTCACTGGTCCTGTAACTTTATAATTTTGAGTATAATTAATTTAAATTTTTTTTTAAATAAAAGACACTCTATTCCTTTTTCAAATAAAAAATAGATTGGTTTTTTTTATTTACTAATTACTG